GTGTCTGCCTGGATGACTAACTCTCTGGAGGAGAATCAAAGGAAATTAAACTGATGACATGTTTTCAGCCTGGAGCTACTCTCTGATGTGTGGGAAGTCAGTTGGGGCCACTGAATTGGGCTCGGGTTTGAGGAAGAAGTATATTGGAAGGAAGACTGGCTGAACTCTCAAATAGTGTGTAAATCAGATACTGCTCAGAATTACAGAGACGTTTAGTAAATTCAAGCAAGGGGGGGCGGGGTGAATCATCCTTGAAAAAAGAAAAAAAAATTGTTTTTCAGAACTGTCAAAGCAGTCATTATCATTTAGAAATTTTTACAGATTTCCCTCATGACAAAGTCTAGAAAGTTTGCAAATGTTGTATAGTGTCTAAGCTGCTTTCTCTCTTACAGAGTAGTAAGTGATGAAAGAAAGTGATCAGAATGAAGATCACATATCACATTGAGAGTTTGAAAATGTTGTATCAGATACTTTTCTGTGCTGTGATTAGTATATATGTATGTGTGTGTGTGTGTGTGTCTATACCTATTTTGCTCACATTACACGCATGTGCATTAATGCTTTTAATGGCCTGTTTTATGGTCTGTATTGTTTAAAACATTTCTCTTCCCTCCTTTCAGGGATGAGGGCTCTGAGGTTAAAGTGAGTGGGTTTATCTCCCAGTTCTGCATGCAAGTTCATGGCATTTCATTATGAAAACTCAGATCGTGGGACTGCTAGCTGTAAACTGGGGTACTGAGTAACATCATCTAATACCTAGGTTCTTAGCAGCTTTAAATGAGCCCCAAAGAGGGGTACAGTGCTTCACGCATACACCATATGACAGCATTGTTATGTGTGACTCACCTAGGGCAAAGGGATAGCCCTGAAAAGTTGCATTAAACTTACTTTTTTTTTTCTATTTATAAGTTTAATCCCTCTCCATTCACCTTTATAGGTGATGCTTAAGAAGGATCTGGTTTCAATTTTCTCCATATACTGAGCTAATTTTTCTAACACTATATGTTAGGTAACCTACTCTTCCTACTAAATAGATTTTTATGCTACTTTGTTTGGTTTGTCTCTTCAAATTTCTATTCACCTCTCTAGGTCCATGTGTCTGATTCTACAATAATATCACATTTTTGTCAACATAAGTTTGAAGTCTATCTTAATAATTAAATATGAAAAGATGCCCATGTTACTTCTTCTTATAAAAGGTTTGCTTCATTATTCATATGCTGATCAGAATTCTTATTGGAATTTTAAAGAACTTATAAAGAACATATTAGTTTTATTCAAATTGCTATCTTTATTATATCAACACATACAAGTTAGAAGCATGGAAAACTTCAATTTATGCAGATATTTCATGTCTTTTACTAGGTTTTTATTTATTTATGTTATTTCAAATAGGAAGAGAGAGGGAGAAGAGACAGAAACATCAATGATGAGAGAGAATCATTGATCGGCTGCCTCCAGCACGCCCCCCACTGTGGATCAAGCCTGCAACCAGGCATGTGCACTTGACCAGAATCGAACACAAGACCCTCAGTCCGCAGACCAACGCTCTATCCACTCAGCCAAACCGGCTAAGGCTTTTACTAAGGTTTTAAAGTTTTCCCCAAAAAGGATTTTTTTTCTCGGTTATTTTATATATATACTTTATATTTTTTGTTACAGTTATGGGTAGCATCTTTTTTTAAATTTTATTTTCTAGTTGAATGTTGCTGCTATATGGCAATAGTATTTTTGTAAGTTGATATGACAGCTAGCAAACTTGTTGATTATGGTATAATTTCTAGATAGGTGCCCATATCATTTGAGCATAATAATATTTATCTCTTCCCTTGCAAGACTAATGAATATATATATTTTCTTTTTGTTATGGTTTTGATCAGAAACTCTCCACTTCAATGTTGAACAATAACAGTGACATAAGTCATTTTTTTCTTGTTCCCAATATTAAATGGAATGCTTCTCGTTTCTCCCATAACTAGAATATTTGCTGTAGATATCTATAATAATAAAAGCATGATATGATAATTAGACCTTCCAGATGAAGCCGAGGCTGCGAGGGAAGCCCAGGTCCTGGGTGCCAGAGGGAAGTCAGTACCAGCAGCTGTGGAAGGAAGACCTACTCTTTTTTTTTTTTTTAAATATATTTTATTGATTTTTTACAGAGAGGAAAGGAGAGAGATAGAGAGTTAGAAACATCGATGAGAGAGAAACATTGATCAGCTGCCTCCTGCACATCTCCCACTAGGAATGTGCCCGCAACCCAGGTACATGCCCTTGACCGGAATCAAACCTGGGACCCTTCAGTCCGCAGGCGGACGCTCTATCCACTGAGCCAAACCGGTTTTGGCAGGAAGACCTACTCTTGACGAATTTCGTGCATTGGGCCTCTAGCTTAATATAATGTCATTATTAATTAATGATCTCTTCTGTCTCTGTTCCTTTTTTTCTAAATAATTTTTTTAGTCTGTGAATTTTCTAATTTTGGTTTTTTATAAGTATATGTTTTTATTAAGTTAATAAACAGTGATATGTCATTTGAGAAAAGGATTTATTTTCAAGTGAGCCTTTGAAACATAGGGGTGGCCCTAACATCAATTATTACAGTTTAATTGTATCATTTACATTTATGCTTTAGAAAGACATGGCTTGCTGTCTGTGGTCTGTAATTACATAGTAGTAAGCTCTCAACGTATGGAACTACACATCTTTGAAATGTCTGAATTTGGCTTTTCTCTAATCACATTTAAGAGAAATTACTAATCTCTTTTTGAAAAGGAGAATTACAGATAGCAGAGTGGAGAGAGACTTGGGAACTTACACTTAGCAAAATAACTGTTTTTAGGGAAATGATTTTAAAAGAATTAAAATGTGTGTCCCTCAGTGATTAGCAGAGGAAATGTGTAAATACACACATCTGCAAATTGTCTACATGAAGGTCCACGACAGGAAGAGGCAGTTATTTACCTTATTCTTTCTAATGTTTTCCTGTGGGACTCCCCTCCATGAAAACAAATTACACCATATTCTATCAGCACCAGGGGAAGAGGAAGGGAGTGGAGCTAAGTGCTTTGGTCTTCCAGCTGATGCTAAATCTTAATCACATTTACCTCATCCTTAATACTTACTTGCAGAGCCCTGGGTTAGTCTAGGTTCTCCCCATCCTTTTTGCACAAGCATCACAATGTGTCAGGGCCAAAGAAAAATAAAACTTTAGCCTACACTTTTGCACACCTGGGACAGTCCAAATAGTCCACACTCGGGGTATGTGAATGATGGGCTCCCCTAATGGTGAGCTAGGACCCTGAGGACTGGCAGGAAGCATGTTTTGTTCACTTGATCATGGTCAGCAATATCTAGCATGCTACCCTAGACAATGGGAGTAAAACTTGATGAATGTGTGTTAAAAGAAAGAACAATATCTGATTGTCATTAACTTGTAAAAAAAAAAAAAAAAAAAAGGAGAATCTGTTCTTCTCTGTTGCTCAAATTCTGCAAGAGGCTCACTGGAGGCCAGAGCCAGAGGGCGGAGCCTGCCCAAGGACACGGGCCTAAGAGAGAGTCCTCTGGGGAGTCCAAAAGCTTCTGCAGCTCCACCCCTGAGCGAGGACAGGTTAGCCACAAGGAATTGAAAATAATGTGATGATTGTATTTTGCCTTTTCCAAACACACAATCTAATTATGGAAAAAAGGCAAATGTACATGAAGAAATTAAGATAAAGTAGATCCTGCACATGATCAGAAAAAAATGGAATATAAGCAAAAGTTTACTGGTTGAACTTTAAAATGCTCCTATTCAGGGGCAAGATCAGTGTTTTTGTTGTTGGCCTGTGAGTTTCTTTGGAAAGAGAGAGACTTTGAAATGTTATCGAAAAATGTGGTTAGTATCCAGGTTGAGGATTAACATGATCAAAGGCATAAAGGGCATAGGATCAAAGGAAGAGATAATAAAAGTTTAAATAGGAATAGGGACACTATGTTGACTAGTGTAATGGAATAAAGATAATATAATAAATGATGCCCCAGTTTGGGTTCCCGGGCAATGTGAAGAAAATCAGAGACACAGTTTATTAAGAGACTAGAGGCCCAGTGCACAAAAATTTGTGCACTCGGGGAGGGGGGGGTCCCTCAGCCCGGCCTGTGCCCTCTTGCAGTCTGGGACCCCTCGGGGGATGACCACCTGCTGGCTTAGGCCTGCTCCCTGGGGATTGGGCCTAAGATGGCAGTCAGACATCCTTCTGGCAGCCTGGCAGCCCTCGGGGGATGTTCACTTGCCAGCGGGAGCAGACCTAAGCTGCAGTCAGACAGCCTTAGTGCTGCTGAGGAGGCAGGAGCGGCTCCCACCACCACCACTGTACTGGCAGCCATCAGCCTCGCTTGTGGCTTAGCAGACCTCCCCCATGTGGGAGTGGCTGACCACCAGAGGGGGCAGCTCCTGCATTGAGCGTCAGCCTCCTGGTGGTCAGTGCACGTCCTAGGGACCAGTCCTTCTGCCATTCTGTGAGGGCCGTTTTCAGGCTGGCTGGGACTGAAGCTCCCAGCCTCTCTTTTTTTTCTTTTCTTTTTTTCCTCTGGGATTTATTTACCTTCTATAATTGAAACATTGTTGCTGTCACTGGCACTCCCAGCTCTGAGGACGCGGCCAGCTGAAAGCAGGTATCTGGGGTTTATTTAACTTCTGTAATTGAAACATTGTTGCTTTCGGGCTCCAAGCGGGGCCGCGGCAGGCAGGGAGCCTTGGGTTCCTCCATCACTGGAGCAAGCAGGCCTCATGTTTGCTTCAGCTGCATGGCTGCCGGCCGCCATCTTTGTTGGCAGTTAATTTGCATATCACCCTGATTAGCCAATGGGAAGCGTAGTGGAGGTATGGTTAATTACCCTTTTTGTCTTTTATTAGATAGGATGTACTGGGATTAATTCCCCATGAAGGGAAGGGAAGGAAGTAAGATCGGACAAAGGTAAAAAATCAACCTGGGATGTCGTCTCAGTGGAGGATTCAGCCAATCAACTACTTCGGAGTGTTTCTGAAGCCAGGATCATGTTTTCAGAGTTGTCCCTAGTTGGTCTGGGAAGTCAGGCCTCTACACCCCATACCTGATAGACATAGGATGAGGGTGCCCTGGGAAGGAAGCATGACCTTGGGCCAGGTGGCTGTCTCTCCAGCAAACGCCATCCCTGAGATTTCTGCTGGCAACACTCCCATGTAAGGGAGCAAGCATCACAAATGATAATACAAGTAGCAATGTTAATGCTAGGGAATGTGTGTATATAGTGATTTTTTAATGCTTTCAAGTTCTTTAATGTTATTTATAACTTTAAACCTCAGAATATGAGGTGACCCTATGCCACCATGTTTTTATTTGACAAATTAAGAGTGTAAATTTCATCTAGTTTAAGAGGAGCTGGGTAAAAGAATGCCAAACGACAACAATAACAAAAACCCGGGCTTCCTAACCCTCACTTTGCTCTCATTTCTTTATCACAATACAGGTGCCAGAGTTCAGGATTGCTCAATAGGGGACCAGGTATCTCTGAGAAATAAAAATGGCTATTTTTGACATTCAGTTTGTGTGTTTGCTTTGTACAGAAGTAAGTTCATTTTTCTTTCCAGGTTTTTCAATTTTTGTCTTCAAATTTTCATTCTGTTCTTCACTCCTTCCTCTGTTCTACCTCAAAACTATAATACAAACAAAATAAACCTTTTCTTATTGTTATGAATAAATTTTTAATTATATAGAAGAGCTTAAATTTAAAAAACATTATAGAAACACCTATATAATTTTTATTTGTTACAGAACCCTTACAGGAATATGTTATCAATTTTGTGATTTCCATTTCAACACACACCCCCTTTCCATTCTAGTTATTTAAAGGGCAAAATCACTTTATTAAAATGTCAACAAGTCTTTCATTAGTTCAACAAAGTAACATAAATAAAATTTATCATAAAGGGTTATGTTTTTAACTTATAATGACATCCTAAGAAAATATTATTTGAGCCCTCAAAGTCTTAGGAGTTTTATTTTATATTTGAAGGTCAAGATTGTACTTAATTGTTAATATTGTTAATTTCATAATTTTTTTCTCAAACATGTTGAGTAATCAACATTTATCAGCTGCCAAAATACTTATAGTAATGCATGACTATTTTTTCAAAGGAAAAATATTTATTTATTTTGAAATCTCAGCCCCCAACATGTATAGTATAGTACAGTGAGATATAGACATTGAGGCTAAAAGAAATCTTGGGGTCTGCATCAGCTACACACTAACAATGAGACTGTCAGGAGGTCACTTAATACCTCTATGCCTCTGTACTTCTCTTACTTGGACATCATAATTCCTGACCTATTAGCTACACCAAGTTGCAAAAAAAGTAACCAAGACAGGAACAGAGGAATTTCCCAAGAGGTAATAGTATCTTTGGCACAAAGATATTTTCTTTTTCTAATTACTGTAGGAATGTAGACTCATTATAGGAAATGAAGAAAAGTATGTCTTATCATGTAAGGATAAACTCATTCTCTTGTATTTCTGTTTAATCTCATCTTTTGTTTAGCTGGCTTTGTGTCTGAGCATGAGTTCTATGGGAGAAGGAAATGAGGTCTGTTGCTGTTACTGTCCTCCAGGAGAGTCATAATGCACTCATTTCCAGATGTCTCTACACGCCGAGATCATCAATTGCTCTATGCAATAATTTCTTTTCTGTTACCTTATTTAAAATTGGCCCCAAATACCTATGTCACAGAGTTTTTTCTTTCATATGCCCATGAGAGAAGCCAAGCTGCCTTGAGATATGGATGCTTGGTGGTGGTTGCAGATACCCTGCTACCTCGGTGCCTTGCTCACACTTCTGTAGCTCTAGAAGATTTCAAATCAGTATATGCTATGAACCTTGGGACATTCTTGAAAATAAGGTAGTTCTCAAATCCTATATAATAAAAGACTAATATGCAAATTGACCAAATGGTGAAAGGACCAGTTGCTATGATGTGGACTGACCACCAGGGGGCAGATGTGCAATGCAGGAGCTGCCCCCTGGTGGTCAGTGCGCTCCCACAGGGGGAATGCTGCTCAGCCAGAAGGTGGGCTCATGGCTAGGGAGCAAGGGCAGTGGGCCTAAGCCATCAGTCAGATATCCCCCACGGGCTCCTGGAATGCAAGAGGGTGCAGGCTGGGCTGAGGGCCCCCCCGCTTGAGTGCACAAATTTTGTGCACCAGGCCTCTAGTATTACTAGTAAATAAGAGAATGTACATGAGTCTGCCTGAGCTGCATAACAAATGACCACAGATTGGGTGACTTAAACATCACAGATATTTATTTTCTCACAGGTCTAGAGGTTAGAATCTGAGACCAAGGTACCAGTATGGTCAATTTCTGGTGATTATTCTCTTCCTGGCTTGCAGACAGCCCCCTTCTCACTGTATTCTCACATGGCCTCTTTTTGCAGGGAGAGAGAGAGAGAGAGAGAGAGAGAGAGAGAGAGAGAGAGAGAGAGAGAGAGAGAGAGAGAGAGAGAGAACATGAACAGAGCAAATGCACTCTCTGGTATCTCCATGTATATACACTAATCCTATTGGATCAGGTCCCATCTTTATGTCCTCATTTTTCCTTAACTACTTTTTTAAAGACCCAAACACAAATACAGCCTCAGAGAAGGTTAGTGCTTGAACATGTGAATTTTGGGAGGGCACAGACTTTTATCCATTATAGAAGGCTAAGGATAACCCAATGTACCTTGGTGTTATTTTTTAACTTAATTTTGAAACTTATGCATTTTCCTTGTTCTAATTCCATCATAAACATAATCTTATGTCTCATATTCTCTAATAAAAGAATGTATTCTAATTTATTTAGACACTTTATCTCCCTGTTGGTGAGCATGTGATTAATTGTTTTACCCTTATGAATATTAATGTGATAAAAATGTACACCTAAATTTTTTCCAGTATATATTATTTCTTCAGGAAGTTGAATTAGTGAGGCAAAAGGTGTGAACATATGAAGAGTATTAATACAGGGTCAATAATCTCTTAAAAGTGATTTTTCTGTTTTTATTTCCAAAGGAGAGTATTGCCTTTTTTTTTGGAATTTGAGGCATTGTAATAAAAATAAAGGTTTCAGTGTGAATGGATGACAACACATGGAAAGGACTGAAGAGAGTGGTAGAAAGTATTTTTTTTTAAATCACTATTTCTTAGTGGATTTACCTAGGATTTTACAAATGGCAAATATATGAATCAGAAGGAAGAAATGGCATAAGCTGAGGGGTAAATTGAAGAGACATTAATAAGTGTATTGATAGAGATAAGGAGGATCAAGGAAACTAGCAAGGACTAGTGCAGTAGTATCCCCATAATAGTAACAGTTGGGAGCTATTATTACTCCTACATGGGCAACGTGAAGCCATTCCTAGACCTTGAAAAGAATTGCTACATAAACAAAACCGTGGGACTAGGGTGGAACTGGGTGGTGGAACTTTAATATTTACAGGTGCACTATTTCAGTGAAGTGCATCTCTCCGTTGTCTCCATTACAAGCTTGCTTCGGGGGCTGAATCCATTATTATTTTACTGGCCTCCTGTGACAGAACCTCTCCTGTTACATTACTAATGAATTTAGGATAAATTATATCATTACCTTGTTTCATCACCCCTTCTTCCCTCCCCCCACCCTCCATCACTGTGTTCCTCAGAAGTTCATGCGCTAAAATTCCAACTCAGGTCCTTGTTGCCTTTGTTTTGTTTTACCAGCAATGGCGTTGTTCCCGGCGTTGCTGTTTCTGGCTGCTGTGTTGCTTCCATTCCTTCCTGCAGATGGACAGGTATGGTTGAGGTTGAAAATATTTTCAGATCAGGCAACCCTGAAGGACAGCAAGCGATTAGATTAATTTTCCAAAGTAAAAAGGGAGTGTGTGTCTGGGACATCACAAGGTACGGTAACCCTTAAACACATGAAGGAATTGAACACATGACATATTGGTAGTCAGAATTGAGATGTGCATGAATATAATGCATAGCAGACTTCAAAGACTTAGTTAAAAAAGGGTAGTAAAACATCTCATTAATAATTTTAATATGGATTGCATGACAGAAGCATATATTTTGAATATGTTTTAAAAATGTATTATAAATTTTAATTTAACCTATTTTTTTCTTTAGGAAGGTAGCCACCAAAAAATTAAAATCACCTTTGATGCTTTAATTATTTTTCTATTGACAGGACTGGTCTATGTGTTTAAAAGCTAACGAAACTCCTCTTATCTCAACATCATTTTCTGATTTACTTTTATTTAATCTACTTCAATGTGATCCTCACCGAAAATTAACAATATATTTGCATAATCTCAAACTAGCAAAACTTCTTCACATACATCACCACATTTAATTTTCATAGTTACTCTGTGAGAATAAGTATATCTTTTTTTAATTTAAAAAAAGAAAATTTACTGAAAATATTAAGCATTTGGATTTTTTTGTAACTTCTTCAATTAATTTGTTTAAGATAAGATGCTCTAATTATTTCTAATATGTTGTTTTACTTAAACAATCCCAAGAGAAGTATCAACTACCCTCTTTAATTGGTGTGAAGTGCCCATATAAGAAATCTATTTCCTGATCAGAGAACCTGTGAATGTGAGGACCTTTGGTTCTGGCTGTCTGTTCACACAGCCTTCTTTAGCATTGGGCATACAAGGTTAGCTAGGACCCCTAAGGCAGAGAATTCTGACACTTAGTCAGACCTCATTTGGCATTCAGGAATACAATCATTATTAATCAACTTTTCAATCTGAAGACAATATATCCATCACTCAGGGCTTCATTCAAGTCATTTACTGTCTTCCCAATTTCTTTCCTAGAGATATTCTTTCATAGCCTTTTCTGATACCCTATTACCTCTCTCATCCATATCCTGGTTTTCATTTATAAAATCATTAAAAAGGGCACTATCATTAGATCCTTTGCATCACTAAGTGTTTGCTGATCTGATGCTCTAAATTCCCTCCACCCAGGGGTTTCTGTGCCTCTCAAAATGCCTAGAAAACATTTATTCACCTCTCAAAACCCCAATCCAGGCCATCTTTTGTGAAGCCTTTCCTAAACCCAATCAGGAAAAATTGATCCCACCTTCCTTCCTCTATATCTAGTCAATCCCGCCTATCATTTTATTTATCATGTGGCATTATAATTATTTATGTCATATTGCCTATTCAATATCAGTTTTTAATGATAGACAGAAACCATATTTATCCATTTTATTTTCAACACTTTCATATTTCTCATCCCTTAATAAAACTTTTATTAATATTTGTTAAAAAAGAAACAAAGGCATGCACTTTTTGGTAGAATTGCTATCTACAAAACAAGATGGGGTGAGAAGTAGGAAATAAATTACTTCTTCTTTCTGAGGCACCATATTTTGATATGCTTGAAATAAAACGATTTTAAATAGGTTTCTGAGGGCTAATAGGATATATCCAGGGACATTATTTTATGCTTTGATTGGTCACTGCTAATATTCATGTGCATCCTTTTCAACTTAGGAATCAGTGGCTGGGAATGTGCCGGATCTGTGGGTATGCTGACATTCAGTCTTGGTCCCTGCCCTTAGGAATATACATGCAGGTGGGAGAAATGGATGCATAAGTAGATAGTGGCAACATGAATATGGTCAGACCTATGCTTACAGTATTTGGAGAACTTTGCAAAAACTCAGTGCTTGTGGAAAGAGAGAATAAGTTATTCCAGAGTGTCAGGGAAAATCAATAAAGGGTTTTGTCTGTTGAGAATTATACTTCACAATGTTGTACATGCTCGTATAATAACATCACACTCTTGTGCAAATTTAGGCCACCAAATTGTGTAAACTTTATGGAACAATTACACACTCTACTTGCTTCTATGCTTAGAGCCCCCCACCCAAAACACACACACACACACACACACACACACACACACACACACACACAAAGATATACCCAAAAATATGAGCATCTAATTAATACCTTAATTATATTTTTGTTACTAAAATGAACAAAACCAGCAATAGCCCATTAATTGCTTGCTCCCTCCAAATTGCCTTGGAGATTTGTTTAATATTAGAAAACTGTCCTTTGATTAATTCCCTAAGAGCAGCTACATAACGGGTAAATCATAGAGTATTGAATGCACTTGGACTAGGGCCAGTGATGGCGAACCTTTTGAGCTCGGCGTGTCAGCATTTTGAAAAACCCTAACTTAACTCTGGTGCCGCGTCACATATAGAAATTTTTTGATATTTGCAACCATAAGAAAACAAAGACTTATATTTTTGGTATTCATTTTATATATTTAAATGCCATTTAACAAAGAAAAATCAACCAAAAAAGTGAGTTCGCGCATCACCTCTGACACGCGTGTCATAGGTTCGCCATCAATGGACTAGGCCTAAACATTCTTTCTTTGAATACAGGTACCATGTCGGGTCAAAGTTCCCCCTTCAAGTGTAGAGTCACCTGACCCTCCTCTTATCACTCCCTTGCTGCAGCCTGACTATGAATGAAAATGTCTTAATGGTTCCCATCTTACAACTTTGTCATTATGCTATCACTCAGATGACTAGACCAATCACATTGAGACGTCTCTTCATACTAGAAAGTGGTATTTGTGGCCTCAGAGGTGTTTTGAATTGTCATGACATGAATAACATCCGCACTCTCAAGATTTAACACTATTTCTGTTCTATTTAAAGATCATAGCTTCGGTTCAGATTCATTGGCAATGCTTAACAATTAATATCGGCTTGAACTGAATACTTTTGAAATAATCGTTGTGCTCTTGAACTAATTTGCTCATATGCAATTTTTCAAACTTTTAAAAACTCATTCTGATTTGTCTTTCCTTTAGAAGTCAGGTTTTGCTGCTATGGCAACCGGCCGAAGAGAAGTGCAAAGAGAGATTGTAAATAAACACAATGAAGTAAGAAGATCAGTCTCCCCACCGGCCAGAAACATGCTGAAGATGGTAAGAGGTGGCCACATAGGAAAGTGGCTTGAGCCCGTTGTCATCATCACAGTCTCCTAGTAAAAAAGATCTCGAAGAACCTTGTGACTTAGGAAGTTCTGTCTCTGATAGTTCATGAGAGCTTTCTTATTGACATGGTAGAAGTACTTTTCCTCATTCCACACACCATTTTTCTTAAAAATGGTGCATCATCCTACCATTGTATGTTCAATTCACTAGAATAATGTGATCTGTCAGAATTGATTCACTATCATGTGCATTTCAGAGTTCTCGGTCTTTGTGAGTGAAATGTCTCTTCCCAGAGAAATTATATATTGTATGCTTACATAAATTACATATAATTTCAGGGGCCCCAGGGAACCCCTGAAACCCATTCAGGAACCCCGACCCTGAGGTTAGTGTGTGCCATCTGACCTTGATAACTTGACCTTTAGACACTTTCACTGGCCCTTTTCTGTTTGTAATGACCCAATGAGTCCTCTGGCTATAGGCAGCTCTTCTGTGCAGCTCCTCTCTGTACAGTCAGACAACCTACAGTCATCATCGACATCATCCTTATTATTAATGTCCACTCCACTCACATAGGTTTCACCTTGAGCCCTAGATCTTTCCTCAGAGACATGTTGTTAGACCAGGAAATTCAAGTGTTGCTGACTTGAAGCTTAAAGAAACCCTCTTTCAGGAAGAGAGTACACAACTATCTTAGCACTGAAAAAAAAATTTTTTTATGACTATGCATATTCTGAGGTCCTGTAGTACAACCTTGGCAGGGCCTATGCAAGTGAGGGGTCCAAATCTTGACCTTCACTAACTCCATGGGACAAGGCAGAAATTCTTAATTGTACTTTGTAATGGTTTAATAACTTGTTCATTTTATGAGGCTATTTAAGTTGGTACAGATTCTTTTTAAAAAAATTTTTTTTATTGATTTCAGAGAGGAAGGGAGAGGGAGAGAGATAGAAACATGAATGATGAGAATCATTGATTGGCTGCCTCCTGCATGCCTCACACTGGGGATTAAGTCCGAAATCTGGGCATGTCCCCTGACCAGGAATCGAACCCGTGACATCCTGGGTCATAGGTCGATGCTCAATCACTGAACCACCAGGGCTAGGCAGCACAGATTCTTAATTGTACTTTATAATGGTTAAACAACTGGTCTATTTTACAGGGTTATTTAAGTTATAGAGGCAGAATTAAAACCAAATCTTTGGACATCCACTAAGGGACCATTATGTTTTTCTGATCACTATCCCCTCCCTATCTATAATCAGGAAGGCATTTTCCCTTTAGGATCAATGACGTTTAGGGTAAATAACAGACCATCTGGGCCTAGTGCCGGAAGCCAAATGTCTCAGAAACATATTAAGTGCGGAAACAAACAAACAAACAAGAACTAGAAATTAAGTATGCCAGCTCAGTATTATAGGAAAAATCATGTTAATACTTGTACATGTTTATCAATATTTAGGATAAGACCACTGCTAAAGTCTTCAGGTATTCCT